GCATAAATTTGAATAATAGTGGTATTAACTGGGCTTCCCTCTAGGCGCATGGACATTATCCTATCACTTAAAGCATTGTACCTCATGACTGATCTGGAAATGTTCTTTTTGACAATGAACGCAACACCATTCCTCTTCAGTTTGTCATTCCCTGCATAGTAAACCATGTGGTTGTCAGAGTCAAAATGGCCAATACCAGTCCATTTCAGCTCACTAATGACTAAGATATCGATGTTGATGCGTTCCATTTCGTTTTTGACAACTTCCAATTTTCCCAGATTCATACTTCGTACATTCCATGTTCCGCTTTTCAATGGATGTTTACAGCTGTTTCTCTTCATTTTGATTTGTGGCCCATTAGCAAATGAAGGTTCTGTGAGCTTTTCTCTACTTGGAGGAGGCATTTTTGTCCCCAGTCGCATTCTGAGTGCCTTCCCACTTTCCAGTCCTGTATCTGACAATGTTTCTCTGCTATTCATAGAGTTTTCAGTGACTAGTGATTCGGAAGTAGTTTGTCACTCTTTCTTCCTAGTCTGTCTTTGTTTGGAAGCTCATCTGAAACCTGTCCACCATAGGTGACCTAGCTGGTTATTTAAAATACCGGTGGCACAGCCCTCAGAATCACAGCAATTCAAACCACCACAGCACGACAGACAGACGAGTGGCGGTTGCGTGGTTGCTGTTAAACAGGAATCTCCTTGTGCTAGGGCCCCCTTAAGTCTGGCTCAAAGGTGGGATTTCTGTCTTTGGATGTCAATCAAGAGGCAGAAGTGCAGCAGGGGCGACTGGGTTGTAGTGAGACGCTTTGGGCTGGGCTTGTGGGTCTCTAAGTTGGTCGACTCCGCCTCAAAGCCAGGATCCAACAACCCAAAAAGGTTGAAAGTAAAGAATGGGTTAATCAAGCACTTGCAAAAATAAGAAAAGAGGCAGGAATTGTTACAGTGAGACAGGAGCCCAGGCCTGGCACTGTGGGATCAGCACTGGACTGTTGACATCAAGGTCAGTATTTCAAACCCACCAGCTACACCTCAGAAACCCTATACAAGGGTCATTATGAGTGGGAACCAACTCAGCAGCACTTACCACCACCACAGTAAGTTGAATTCCATGAGAAAAGTGCGACTAGGGAACGTAAAGAGAACTACCACAATGACACGTATTGTTGTTAAGTACCATTGTGTCAATTTTGATTCATAGTGACTCTACACAGCCATTAGGAATCCTATGGGCCCAACAATACAGCATAGGGATAAATGTAGCAAAAACACAAACCAGAGCTGAAAGAAACATCAGTAGTGAGCTCAGGATCAGTCCTGATTCACAGCAACCCTAACTAAGTACAATAAAATGACACACGATCTGGTCCTGCCTCCAGCCTCACAATCAATGAAAAAAGATGACCGACAGGTAAAACCCACGGCCATTGCTGGGAAGCCTGAGAACTAAATACACAGGTATGGCTTGTATTGTTGCGCGTGCTTTCCCACACGCAAGCGAAGGTTTGTGGCAATCCTGCGTCAAACAAGTCTTCTGGAGCCATTTGTCCAACAGCATGTGCTCACTTTGTGTCTCTGTGTTACATTTTGGTCATTTCCCCCCAATGGTTGAAGCTTTTCATAGGCCATGGCACACTTAATTGCTGTTCCTATTTAACTGCCATTGGTCGGTTCCAATTCACAGCAATCCTGTACAGAGTTTCCAAGGGGCTGGTGGGTTTGAACAGCAGTCTAGTGCTTATCCTACAATGCCACACCAGGAACCCACACACCTGGCAAACTATCTCAAAACCAAACCCTCTGCCGGCCTTCCAGCTGATTCTAGCTCATAGGGACCCTACAAGACAGAGCAGGGTTTCCGAGACCGTCATCTTTACTGCTGCGGAGCTCAGGTAGCAGCCGAGTACTTACACACTGCGCCACGAGGGCTCTTTCAATATAACACAGAAAACAACTCACACAATTAAGGATGCAATCTTAGAACCACTATGTAATCAATGCCATTTAACAATGATTTTTACTAACATTATTTGTAAATTCATGGATTAAAATCTAGAAACATGAAGAACAGTGTAATAGTGGTTTGTTAAGGAGCCCTGGTGGCCTGCTCCCTAAAAGGTTGGCAGTTTGAACTCAACAGCCACTCTGAGGGAGAAAGGACACAGCGATCTGCTCCTAGAGAGACCACAACCTTGGACTCCCCATGGGGCAAGTCTACTCTGCCACCGAGCACCACTGAGCCAGAATCTACTCGATGGAACACACAACAGTGGTTTGTTGTGGGCATGGAATGTGAGGTAACAGGGGATTGTCCTCTAAGGACTAAATGTATCTGTGTGATTTGTATTACTTCTGAAACGAGAAACAAAAAAACTAAAAAGTGATGTGTGTCCAGATGAACAAGCTAGAGTCATTTTTAAAAAAGGAATTTTAAGCTAGATTTGACTCATTTAAATCAAAATCTATTTTTGGTGGTAAAATGGAAAAAATGTGTGAAACCGTAACTGGATTTGCAGCAGGTTAAGTAGAAGACTGTGAATCCAAGTCGACCTGGAGAGCCAGCCATTGTCAAATGTCAAAGACTCGACTCTTGGACACAGAAAAATGCTCGGTGACTAAAGCTTCTGGCTCACTGATGACACACACTTAAAAGCAACTAGACACCAACAGAGTACGGACCAAGCTCAGGAGCACTCCTGCAACGCGATGAGGCAGTCCCTGATTCTCTCCATCGTCTTTATGTGACTACATCAATAATAAAAAATGGTACTTCTAAGATGTATGCAAAAAATGACTGTTGCACGTAAAGTGAAATAATAAATTATTAGCTGCATCCATGTTATTATACTACAGTTATTTCTATTTAAAAGAGAAGACGCACATGTAAGCTAATTCCTCCAAGGAAATGTAGAAATGAAACTGTGTCTGTGGTAAGGGCAGGATAAGCACTGAACTGCTAATCACAAGGTCAGCAGTTCAAACCCACCAGCTGGTCCTCGGGAAAAAGATAAGGCTGTTTGCTCACATACAGATTTACAGTCTCGGACACCACATACAGGGGCACTAGGAGATGGAAGTGACTTGGGTTTGGTTCTCCTGAGTCGAGTGATAAGGACACTGGGATTGTTAGTGGTTTCATCTGAAAGAAAGTAGTCCTTGTTACATTGGTGCAGCAGATAAAAGTCACGAGAACTATCAATCACACTTACAATGCGGAGGTCTTCAATACGCTTTTCAAGCGGTACAGGCAGACCCTCCGGGAGTGTGGGCGCCAGCTTGGGCACGACCTGAGAAGTGTAGGTTGGCTGGGTAGTGCTCCCGTTCTCCCCGCCTGACTCGGACAGGGGGCTGCCGTCAGAAGTGGCATCCAGCAATCTGTCGAAGTCAAAATCATCTAGCATCTCTAGGGCGTTCTCAGCTTCCTGAAACAGCTCATGTTCATTTGTGCTGACAAAGATGGGGAGGTCTTGGTCACTACTGCTCAGGTTTAAGTCCGAGACGTCGTTTCCCAGTGTGGCCACGGCAGAGGGAGGCTTGTTCAGAGAGGAGGTCGGTAAGGTCACAGGGACTTTGGGGCTAGGTTCCTTCTTCTTCAGCGCATCCTTCTCTTTCTGAAATTTCCGGATCATGGCAGCTAGAGAAAGAGAGTCTTTGTAACGTTTCTTCTTTTTTTCAGACTTGTGGGAATTCAGAGCCACAACTCTGTGGGGGGAGAAAAAAAAAAGGTCAGGGTGTGTGGGATACTGAAGGTTCAATAAGCAGGCAGAGAATTACAATCTTCACTTCACTGGTGGCCAAGCAAAGTGCTTCCTTCCACCTGAGTTTCTCATTAGCTTCCACTTTACAATCCTATCGTCTTCACCATGACTTGGCAAAAAGAGGTGGACTGGTAAATGGTCGATGCAGGGAGGAAAAGGAAATGAAGGAAATCAGCAGACACAAGACTGACAGTAGCTCAGGCTCATGGCCACAGACGAAGTTATATAACCATCAGTCAGAATCAATACTAAGAGCCCTGGACTTTTAACTGCAAGATCAGTAGTTCAAACCCACCAGATGCTCTGAAGCCCCATATGGGGTCATTATGAGTTGGAACCAACTGCTTGGCACACAATAAGAAGTTAACTGGAATGTTGCATTCTTCAGCATATCTATAAACAGTCACCTGAAGAATGAACTAAGTATAGAAATTTTTGCTTAACTTGATCTGCCTTCCAACCAGGGAAGCTCACGCACCTTGTATCTTCAAACTCAGACCCCAAGTGGCTCGAGCTTCAAATCGCCAGAGACCACCAAAGACACACCACCTCCTGCATCAATCTGGGGTCTCTGACACATCTTGCCGTATGGCTCATTTCATATGTTCCACTCCAGTGAGGGAACAGCAGCGTAGGAATCGGGCACCCCTACGTGTAATTTTCAAAGACGTTTTCCCTATAGAAGCTAGGAGGAAACGGTGGTCTCAAGTTAAGCTCTTACTTTAAGAAATCATGTCCAAATCCTTCTATTGTAAATTGAGCAGATCATCAGTTTTACACTCCATAAGCCCTACACATGGTTCACTTCAATGACTGCATTCTCAGCGGCTTCTGGTTTCCCTTCCTCCTTGTGTATCTTGCCCTTTCGATTTCGAATGGTTGATCATTTGATGGTGTGTGGGCCTCACTGGAGGTGTTTCCCCACTACAGATCCATCTATTGCTTGGTGAGAATCGAGTCGTGGGGGTCAAGTGCCACAGCCTTAGGGTTTTACTGGTTTCCAACCTGTAAGCCTGGTCAATTTTATGATTTTGAGTTTTATTCCAAGGCTACAGACTGACACATCTTTCTGAGTGGCTGGTTAATTTGACCTGCCGACCTTTCAGTTAGCAGCCGAGCACTAAACCACTGCACCACCAGGACTCCTTTAATAATAATAATAAAACCACCAAACCTACTGCCATCAATCAAGTCCAATTCACAAGGACCCTATATATGATTTCCTATACAGGGAGCATACAGCCTCATCATTCTCCCACAGGGCAGTTGGTGGGTTTGAACCACCGACCTTGTGGCTCCAGGCCATCGCCTAGCCCACAGCTCCACCATGGTTCCTTAGCACTCCTTTACTTATTAATAATTGCATACTTGAATACTGAGACAATCCAGCAGATCCCTGACCTCTGTAAACACCAAACCAGACCCCACTTAAATCGAGTGAATCAGTGCTAAACCTGCCCCTTGAAAGGGAAGGCAGTCACGCTCCAACTCCAGTCCCTCTTAGGTGTTCAGTGAACATACCCTAACTGTTTGGATACTTTTTTCCTTGGCTTCTTCTCCTTTTCCCCTTCTTCTTTCCGCTTCCGCTTCTTCATCTCAATATCATCTTCTTTGATTTTGGAAACCTGCAAACCAAACAGAGATTGTACACGTAACTACACCCCATGCTTTACTCTCTGACGGTGGCTGCCAGATACCCCGGCCTGTGCTTGGGCCCCATGCTTTACTCTGATGCCACCTGGCCAGTACCCGACAGTAGCTTCCAGTGGGACTAATAATCATGGATAAAAGTGCAAACCCTTCTGAAGTCTTCTTAAAACCAAATAGTTCCAATTAACTAGTAACAAAGGTATGCCTCAAGCATTATGCGTATTTAAGAACTATCTGTATGTGATCAAATTGATAACCACACTTGAAAGGTTCAATAGGAAAGTTGGGAGACAATGAGTGACGTTAGGCTGGGAGAAACAACTCAGAAGAGGAGGCTGTGTATGGTTGGAAAACTTGAAGAATGTAATCACTGTCACTAAATAGCACATGGCGAAACTGCTGTGTATACTCGCAACAACAACAAAGGACCTGTCATGGATTGAAATGTGTCCCCCCAAATATGTGTCAACTTGGTTCGGCCATGATTCTCAGTGGTTTGGCAGCTATGTAGAGATTTCCCTGCAATGTGATCAGCCGATCAGTTGCAAAAGGATTAAGGGTGGGATGCAGCACATTAATCCCATCACAACTCTGAGTTTCCCTGCATCACCCTTATCTTCCAAGAGACAGGGAAATGAGTGGAGAGAGGGACCTATTGCCACCAAGGAAGGAGAGCCTGGTGCTGAGTGAGTCCTTTAAACCCAGGTCCCTGTGCTGGAAAACTCCTAGATCCAGGGGAAGATTGGTGTCAAGATACAAGGAGATCTCTGAGGAATGCTGGGCCCACAGATGCTAAAAGGAAACAAGGACCTTCCTGCTAAACTGTGAACCAGCAGAGAGTAAAAGTCTTTGCGTACACCTAGTGCCATGATAGATTTCTAGTCTCCTAAACTGTGAGAGAATAAATTTGTTTGTTAAAGCCACTTCCCTGTGGTAGCTCTGTTACAGCAGCTCTAGGGAGCTAAAACAGCACACGTGTGGTACGTCTGTTACAGCGTCTCTAGAGAACACAGATGGGTCCATGAGAACCCACTCCTGGTTCTGATGCTGTTGGCTGGGGTAGGGTCTTGTAGTTTTCATTTCTAATAAACCATTTAGTGATTCTGGTGCAAGCAGTCTTGGATCAACATATATTTCATTAGGCAAATAAATCTGCTGCACAAGACCTTTTTCAAGTGTTGAAGAGCAAAGATGTCAGCTTGAGGACTAAGGTGCTGCTGCCTGACCCAAGTCATGACATTTTCAATAACCTCACATGCATGCGAAAGCTGGACAGTGAATAAGGAAGACCACTGAAGAATTAATGCTTTTGAGTTATGGTGTTGGAAGAGAATATTCAAAGTACCACGGGCTGCCAAAAGAACCAACAGATTTTTGTTGTAAGAAGCACAGTCAGAGTGCTTCTTAGAGGTCAGGATGGCCAGACTTCGTCTGTTATACTTGGAACATATTGTCAGGAGGGACCAGTTGCTGGAGAAGGATATCATGTTTGGTAAGGTGGAGGGTCAGAGAAAAAGAGGAAGACCCCCAACGAGATGGACTGGCAAAGTGGCAGCATCAATGGGCTCAAGTGTGGCAACAATTGTGAGGTTGGCCCAGGACCAGGCAGTGTTTTGTTCTGTTGTGCATAGGGTCACTATGAGTTGGTACTGACTTGATGGCACCTAACAACAACAACAACAGCATTATTCATTTTCCAATCCTACAATTTAGAGGGTTGTTTTACACAGTGCATCTCTCAGGAAAGGTAACAGGGCTATAGACAATCATTTCGAGACCAAGTCTTCATAGTCTAGAAACAGTAGATTATTAGACTACATATCTATGCAGATGGCATAAAACATAGCCCTACCATGATCTAAATAACCTCATTTTCTCTTCCCAACATAACTTTGTTTTTTTTTTTTTTTTTTAATTAAATGTTTTTATTTTGCATTGAGTGAAAGTTTACAGGGCACATCATCAGCTTCACAGTCAACCATTCATATAGCTTGTTTCATTACATTGATTATTATCCCCTCCATATATCATCGGTTTACAGTGTTTCTCTCTATGCTCTTTAGCTTATTTTTTTGGATGGAGGGGAACTTGCCTTTTTGGAATTTACAGTCTCGGCTTTTAGGGAAGGTTTTTACATTTGTCTGTGGATATCCAGGGCTCATGTATGAGATTACTAACAAGCATTACTGAATAATCAGATTAGGGACAGTTTGCTATGTCTACTAGGTAGCTAGAGTCTGCATAACTTTGTTTTAAAGCAAGTAATTTAAATTCATTAACAATGGTTCGCGTTTGATTTTCCTTAACAATCACAGCTGTGATACCGGTAAAGTGCAGAATTTGGACCCTGTAATGGAATGTTCTCAGTCCTGTGGGAGGCTGGACAAACTCACTTTGGGTGGCTTGTGCTTTGGGTTGTCGGCGAGGTCCTCCTCTTCGGTATCTGAAGCCTGACGGAACTGGAGTGTGCCCGTGTTGATGTAAAAGCCTCCATATTTTGTGGTCAGAGAAGCAGGAACTAATTCGTCATACTAGGTTAAAAAAAAAGAGTTTCAGATACACCCCATTGTCCTTAATTCTGCTAAATACCTATCAACGAAACTCATTCACCAAACTAACACGTTGCTCAAATCCCAAAAGGAAAACTGACTGCACCACGTGACTGCAGTGAAGGTGGCTAAACACTTTTAATGGTCACAGCAACGTTACCCAAAGCAAGAAAACAAATGCAGCCTAAGAGCCCTTCAGCGATGGACAGATCACTAAAATGAGGTACAATGGGCGACTATGCAATCACAAAGAGCAATGCTATATGGATTCAGAAGACAATGCTAAGCAAAGAAACAGTCAATCACGTTAGGAAACATATTGTATGATCCCACTTTCTTATAAGAAGAAATAAATACACAGAGACCAATGGGTCACTGGGCGCTACCAAGGGGGAAGTGAGAATCACTCTGTAGATTGTGGATACTTATTTTGGTTGATGAAAACAGTGGCACCGAATGTAGGTGTGGTGAGTAAATGATTTCATTAAGAAGTGCCCAAGATACAATAGTGAATAATTGCTATCAGGACTGACTGTGAGTGTTGGAAATGTAAAGGAAGACATTTTATAGCAAAAGGAGGGACTGGTTGACTTTGCAGTCCAGGAGCAGAGGTCCCTGGGACCCTACCCAGAGAAACAGTGACGCCAGAGATAGAGGCAGAGAAGAAGACATGGAGAGATGGAACGGCTGGGGACTCTAGACCCAGAGAGGTAGAGGGGCTGTGTGCTGATGACCACGGGGCAGGTTTTCGGGCATACCCTTTGGTTGTTTGATGATGAATGGGGGGGATTGTAATCATGGCAATGAAACGATATATTGATAGGATGAATGTAAAGAATGTTCTCCCATGTACACTACAACATAATTCACAATAAAACATAAGCTAAAGACTATGACATACCAACATAGCACCCCCACCAATAACCAAAAAATCCAGACCTGAAAGACCAAGTGTAAGGTATAAAGGCACAGTCACGTTCAAGCAAGTACAGATGAGTCACACGGATGTGTAGATGGAACTATCTGTAAGTCTGTGTACTTACAGATTTGTGTGTGTGCATATGTATTCATACAGGGTAGTTACAGATAACAGATACTTATCAGACAAAACCAACCATCTTGTGAGAATGGTTTTCTGGATTTGAAGGCTTCAGACCTCAGTCTCATGGGACAACCCTGTAAATTCATGTTTTGCATCCTAGTGAGATGCGTAGATCCGGGGTTTTCAAAGCTTGCAATCAGCCACCTAAGATACAACTATTTATCTCTACTTGTCAGGAGCAAAGTCTCACTGAAGAAGCCAGTCTCTAGGGCTGACAGGCTAACAGAAACCATGACCTCATCTACCCTGTACCCAACCACCATTAATGACCATTCTGAGCAGCGTCATAATAGATGGACCTTGATAAAATGGGAGATAAAAGTGTGAAACAAAATTCAAATTCTTAAAAAGTCCTGACTCACTGGACCAGCCGAGACTAGAGGACTTCCTTAGACTACTGCTCTAAAATACTCTTGAAACCTTGAACAAATGCTAACCCTGAGGTCACCTTTTAGCAAAATAAAAGACAGGCACATGAAATCTAGGCTACCCTGTGAATGAGTGCAGTGCTCCATTAAGAACCATCTAGAGGAGAACAAATGGCTAGAAACACATATGAGAAGAGGGCAGGGAAGCTAGAGGACTACAGGAGAAACACAACACAATTGAAAAGAATCCAGACACACTGTGAAAAATATAACTAAGGTCACTGAAAAATTTGTGTAGAAATTGTCAAATGGGAACCTGATTTGCTGTGGAAGCTTTTAATGAAAACACAACAAAATATTTAAGAAAATAAATGATGTTTAGAGTATAAGTTAAGAAACAGTTAATTAATGAAATAAAAATTGGGTCTGATTATTAAGCAGCTATCAGGAAAGAAATTTCTGGAATAATGTAGTAAATTCTAAATACATCATCTGTAGAGAACACATTAAGGACCATTTCTAACAACAAAGGGTTCTGATGAGAAAGTTAAACAAAGACTACACTTTGTTCACAGATAAGGAGAGTGCCAACGTCCTGTCTTCTGTGTTAGCGCTCAGCATGTACAAGAAGCGAAGAAACTGTGAAAACTGTGTTTCAAACAACATCAGTATGTATTAGTTTAGAGGGAAGGAGAAAAAACCATTACCCAGGTCAGTAAGCATGCTAGGCGCTCTGCTCACTAAATGGCCTCAGACTGCCTATATTATCTCACTTGATTAAGATGGACAAAAGAAAACATTAAAGGAAGGCCAATCTTAATCAAAGGAAGTGGTTCCTACTGGGAGACAATAAAGAAACTACTTATCCAACAAAGGCAAGACACCTGCTGTCTGCAGTCCCTACAAAGAACTCATTAAATTCTTTACTGTTGTTCCAACTCATAGAGACCCTGTTTAGGATTTCCAAGGGGCAAATGGTGAGTTTGAACCCCAAGCCTTGTGGTTCAAACCAACCTTGTGGTCCAGTACTTTATCCCACAGTACCACACCTACTAAAGGCAAAAAACATACACAACCTATGAATTACTGTTAGAATTTAGGGTAAACCCAATATGGATGAAGGCTGCACAACCTGGCCAATGAAAATGAAGAAACTTATGAAGTTCTCACTGGATTAGAACTCAACATAAAGAAAACAAAAATCCTCCCCACTGGACCAATAAACACCACCATGATAAATGGAGAACAGATTGAAGTTGTGAAGTATTTCATTTTACTTCAATCCATAATCGATGCCAATGGAAGCAGAAGTCAAGACCAAACAACATATGACAATGGACAAAACTGCTGCACAAGGACCTCTTTAAAGCATTCAAGAGCACAGATGTCACGTCAAGGAGTAAGATGCATCTGACCCGAGCCGAAGTATTTTCAATCACCACATATTCATGTGGTAACAATTGTGAGGTTGGCCAGAATCGGGCAGTGTTCTGTTGTGCACAGGGTCGTTATGAGTCGGTACCAATTTGATGGCACCTAACAACAACATATACATGTGAACGTTGGACAGTGAATTCGGAAGGCTGGAGAAGAATCGATGCAACTGAATTACGAAGTTGGTGAAAAAGAATGAAAGTACCATGAAATGCCAGCAAAATAATCTATCTTATGAACAAAATTTGGTCCTTATAGAAATGAGGATGCTGAGACAGTGTCTCATGTACTTTGTTGGTCATGTTATCAGGAGGGACGGGTCCCTGAAAAAGGATGTCATTCCTGGTAAACTGGAGAGTAAGTGAGAAGGAGGAGGACCCTCCCAAGAATAGACTGACACAATGGCTCCAACCGAACAGAGCTAAGGGTGGGCAGGGCCTGGCAGTGTTTGCTTCTGTTGTGCAGAGGAGACTATGAGTCAACTCAACAGCACCTACCGAGAAGAAATATGAAGAATAAGGACAAATTCCAAAGCAAACAACAATTTTACAACAATCAGAGCTCTTGTTGTTAAGTGCTGCCAAGTCAGTTTAGACTCACAGTGACCCCTGTATAGGGGCTCCAAGGAGCAGCTGGTAAGTTTGAGCCACCGACCTTGTGGTTAGCAGTCCAGTGCTTATCCACACCAGAACTCCAGCCACAATAGTTGTTGTTGTTAAGTGCCGTGGAGTTGGTTCCGACTCATAGTGACCCTGCACAGGGTTTCCGCAGCTGTAAATCTTTATGGGAACAGAAAGCCTCATCTTTCTCCCGCGGAACAGCTGGTAGTTTCGACCTGCTGACCTTACGGTTTACAGCCCGATTCGTAACCACTACGCTACCAGAGCTCCTTGCCGCAATAGTAGTCACTAATAAAATATGTGTCTTGTGGTGCCTTGAATTGATTGGATATGGCTTTTCTATCCAAAGTCTTCTGAATTTCCACCAAGTGACTGAGTTGTTGTTAAGAGCTGTAAAGTTGATTCCAACCCATAGTTACCCTGGGCTGGTTTTGATCCTGAATTGTACCCTGTTCACTTCCCTAATAAACTACATAATTGTGAGTATTTATGAGTTGTGTTTGGTCATTGCAATGCATTATGGAACCCAGATGTGAAAGCAGAGAGTACTGTGAGAGGGATGGTTGGTATAAGAAGAGGGTAAAGAAGGTTGTAGGGTGGAACATGTCTCACTTCTGCTTCATAGGAATCGGCCTTGGGCTGATAATGAATTTGATTCTCCTTCCCCTTCCTGAAACTAGAGAAGTCAGACAGGGTCCCCACATGGTTTTTGCATGTGTGCTTACATGTTGTTTGTTGTTGTTAAGTGCTGTTGAGTCAGTTCTGACTCATAGCGACTCCTTTATATGGTTTCCAAGGAGCGGCTAGTAGGTTTGAACCACCGACCTTGTGGTTAGTAGTTCAGTGCTTATCCTCCAGCACCACACCAGGACTCCTCCCACAGGCAGACACATATTCATATATGTGTACAGGAAGGAACATGTGAGTCTATGAGTATGAATGAATATGTATATCTGCAGGTAATAGTATACACATGCATATGTGCACTGCATACACACTTGTATCTCATATTAAACCACAAAGGGTTCACCATGCTAATGGATACTTTCAAGACACCTAACAAGACTGCCTTACTGGTTTTGAAGGCTTGGGGCCATAGTCTGGAAGGACAAGCTGATCAGCTGGCACAACACAGTTCATAAAAAAACCTCCATCCTGGTATGATAAGTGGTGTCTGGAATCTTGAAAGCTTGTGAGTGGCCATCTAAGACATGACTGGTCTCTTCCCATGTGGAGCAAAGGGGAGTGAAGGAACCCCAACTCAAGAAAGTCACAGGACTAACGGCCATGGAGAACTGCAGCCTCTCCTAGCCTGAGATGAGAAGAGCTAGAAGGTGCCATGCCTGGCAACCACTGCCCACTGTTCTGATCAGGGACATTTTCCTTCCATTCTAACCACTACCTGCAGTTCTGGTGAAGATGGAAAGAAACTGTAGAGCAAAACTCAAATTCCTAAAA